TGACTGTCTCCATGAACCCTGACACTGGATGCTGTGGCAAGGAGTTATTTTAGAGGTTTCTCAGAAGTGGGTGGCTATAGTTCACAGTGCAACACACCACCCAGGGATGACGCTCTCTCCTGAAACTCCAATCCAGCAAATAACAAAGAGCATCGGCCAGACAAGGCAGGCGGGGTTGCTGACAGCTCGCCCGATACTGTGACAAAAGCAAAGAGCTTTCAGTGTAGACTCTTCTCATTAATAGTATGGACTCAATTAACTACACATATACATTGAAACTTGTAACTGCTCATCGCCAATCTCTTAAATTGACCTGGTGATCGAAGAGCCAGCCGCCAGCATCACGCACTTCCACGGTGTTGGCTTACACAGCTCCTCATGGCGGCAAGTTCTGCATATCAAAACCTGAAAGAAACAGTCCTCTCGACCTGCTGCACTTCACCACAATGTTTAACCATTTCAAATGCAGGAATATTCTATTTCAAAAAAGTGTGAGAGATTAATAGAACTAGGTTAAGTCCTGTGAGGCCGAATTTAAGGAGTTACAAGTGCTCATTCATGTCCCAAAGTCATTCTGCGAGGCTCAACCCTCTCTCCCACATTAACCCAATTTTCATGACACTGGAAAGATCTGCTAGAAATACTCTTCCACATCTTTGTGATGATTTCACAGCTCTGCTGTTTGGGCTGCTCTCATCCTAATTGTAACAGCTTTTATTCCTGTGACAACTGGAAAAAAATAGCCAAATTTTCATGGTCTGTTCTCAGGTGAAGTCAGTAGCAGATGTGTTTATCTCTACCAGGTTTCTTCTTTTCTTGATAATTTTTAACTAATAGAAATTACAGAGGGAAATCAAACCCTTCCCCCCTCCCTTTCTCAATCCTGCATGCTTAAAAATATAATAGTAATGAATAATAATAATAATACAAAACCAAACCAGCCACTGTGTTAAATCAGCATACCTACACATCTATAATAATCACCAGGGAACAGAGTGGGAACGAGCACAAAGCAGCTGATGAAAACCTTCCTTGTTTATGTCTGCATAACCATTCCTTCAGTATTTCTGAGTTAACAAATATACAGTATACTCTTTTTTTAAACCCAAACCACACAGTTTATACATTATAAAACCATGTTTACATTTTATCCATACTGCATATATTAAAAGCAGGAGGTTGGGATGCTTCCGTTAAGAAATGGTGAAAAGTCATAAATTAGCGTAGAAAACATGCATTATATCAAGAGAGCCCAAGCACTGGTTATTTGTGCATTATCTTAACATCATCCATTAAGTTATCCATTTATACAGTTTGGCACTAGTATAAATAATAAAAAGCTTTTTATATTTATCGCTATTTTAAAATGGTAAAGACTGAAAAACTTCATGGAATTGTTTGAATATGCTAGTCGAGAGCTGGTATATAACACATTTTATAGAAGGGAATTTACTGTACATTCATTTACAACTGTTTATCAATTGAGCTGAAGGTACAGATCCATCTAGTAAAACAAAACAAAAAAAACACCAAACATTTTATTAATGCATTAACACTAAGGTCATGTAGAAAACTGGTATTTTAACTACTGGAGTACTCATTCCTATGGAAGTTGAGATCAGCCAGCGAGATGTGTTCTTTCATATTTTTTTTAAAGCAGCATAAGTAGGTTATTTGCATACTTCCAACATTAGAGGCAATATATCCTTCATATCATTTTAGCCCATGATCGGTTGACTCTGCCACAGAAAAGTTGTAATACACCATCTCAGGGAGTAACACAATCACCAGAACAGGTAAAAGAAGAAAACCCTCTCCCACAGTTGTTTCTTTATGCTGAATTAACACAGATGCATTAACAAGTTTTAGTTTTTGTGTTGGGTTTTGTTTTGGTGGGGTTTTTTGTTTTGTTTTTTAATTATTATTAAAGAAAGACCACGGGCATTCATCATGTTCTACTAAGTGTGAAATACCTCCCCACCTCAGAAATCTTCCTAAGCTTCACAAAAGAGTGCTGAACACATTATTTACAAAAATTTATGAGAAACACATTTTGTCCCACTGCTTCACTTCTATCTGGAATTTTACTTGCATCAAAGATCAACAGTAGCTTTAAGTCACCTTTTTTTTTGTTACAGGAACACATATTCAGATTTGCTTAATACCAGTTTATTCCTCCTTCTCTAGCAGTTGAGACCAGCCACACCAGGGGCAATCTGGCTCAATGTTCAAAAACCAGAGGTCAGAATAAAAACAGCAGTCAGGCATCCCGCCTCTCTCACAGGATGATTACCAGGTGACCTGCTGCATGAGCCTTCTGCATCAAAAGGTGGTGTAAGAGAAGTGTCATAAATATTTTTAGGCCCTGAACTATTGTCCCGAAAGCTACTAAAGAGGAAATACATTTCCACAAACTGACCACATTAAGTAACCATGTAAGACACAAATACTTGTCTAAATTACAGTTTATTATTATTATTGTTGATCAACTGTCATAGGATGCACTAAAATTTTCCTTTAGGTACCCCCTACACAGTAACAAACATTTAGGAGGAGTGTGGATGACACATTTATTTCAGAATAGTTGAGGGATTCGTTCCTGACTCCGTCTTGCTGGGTGTCGAGTAGTCGCAACTTGCTTTCAGGAAGATGAGCAAGGGAGTTGGTAGGTGCACACCTTGTGACATTTTATGTACTTTATTATAAACAAGTAAGGCACATTATTTCTAACGTGGATATTTCCATAGGCTTGCTCATTATATCTTCACGTTTATGAAGCATGAATCATACCACTTTTGGGTTTTTTCTTTGCTTCATAGTAAACTTATCCCTCCCTCGAGCAACCAAACCACAAGAACTTTGGTGATCCTTCAGAGCACAAAGCTAGTTCAAATCCCAGTTGATGACCACCAACACAATATGAATTTTCAAATGCAATTTGAAATAAACATTCTATTTAGAACTTTCGCACTTTGCCCCTCATACAACTAGCTTAAAACGGTGCTCTGCTTTGCAAGATGTACAAATACAGATTTGAGAAGAAAAAGAAAAAACAACCAAAAAAACAAAACCCCACATTTGCTAACAATAGCAAATTCAAATCTTGCCAAAAGAACACAACACAAATTAAATACTTGAAAAAATAAAATTCTGGTATCTAAGTAGGTTACCTAAGAGAAACCACAGAACATGAGAAAAGAAATTACTAAGTAAACACTGATCAGACACGGATACCTGTAAAATAACGTAACCTTTCTGGAGGAGAGCAAGCAGCAGTGCTTCACAATCTTCTTCAGGTAATACAAGAGTTTCAAGGAGGCTCTCGACTTTACGCAGTAGTCAAAGACATTTGAAAATTTGACAATTAATTACACTTAGACTTCTTCCAGTGTCAGCAAAATGGAAAACCAACACACTTAAAATCACTGCAGAATATTTTTACAGTCATCCTTTATATTACACACCCTGGTGTCAGAGATCAGGTCAAGTCCCTCCACAGCTTTTTTTTTTCTTCTGCAAAATGTATCTGCTTACAGCTGGATAGGCAGATTTTCACAGATAAAAACGGTCAGAGTAGAGAGAAGGAGGAGTAACTGTTGCTGGATCAACTTACACCACAACCAACCTAGCAAACAACCAGCCCTTTTTCATGCTCTGTGAATAAGTCACTGAAATTATGTTACTGACCATATAATAGTCTACAAGTACTTCTCATTCTCAATAGTTTATGCTGAAATTTTCCCAAAAATTCACATCTCAGAACTGTACAGTTCCATTATTTTAATTGATTAAATATAGATTAGCAGTGTTAACGTAAGAAAAAAGATTTAATGGCATCAAAATCATTCAAATTAAATCAAGTAAGAAAATGTTGCAATGCACTTCAGCCAAACCGTCACAAATGATATGTTTATAAATGCAGACAGGAGGTAGCTGGCAGCTACCTGGAAGTGTCCAATTTGTCTAAAAAGCAAAAACTGACAAATGCTAATTAAACCTTTCAATTAAAGAAAGAGAACACCTAGTTTATTGCTTTTGAAGATTCATTCTTTACATCAGAAACAGGCAAAGGTATATCAAAGAAAGTTACCTGGCTGTTGATGGCTTTTGATTATATTTGCTTTTTCAAAAGAACCACTAAATAAAATTTTGAATGCAAACAGTTGACTCGCTCCCAATGTTACATGTTCTCACCAAAATGAGCAAAGGCTTGCAATTTCCAAGAAGGAGGGCAGGGAAAGAAGGTATAATTTCCAAAAGGATAACATTAACTACTTTCTTATGAGAAATCAGTAGAACTAAAATCAGTGTTCCCACCAGACAGAATGCATTGAAAAAACAGACCAACAATTGCAGGAGAGGCAGAAAGCACCCTAGCTATGAAGACAGTGGTGTCATGGTGTATGATACATGGAATGGAGATGGAAATATGATGATCTGTACCACAGGTGTAATTTTTATTAAAGCTTCTTGAAGTTTCTTTTTTGTGTTTCAAAGGCAAAAGTGGAACAGACAAGAAAAAAAGGCAAGACACTTAAAAGACAAAAAGATGCAAGAAAGCAAGAATCAAGGCAGCAACTGCCAAAGGAAGACAAATGACTGAGAAGTAGGACAGACTTCAGCAATGGGGTCTGAAAACTGCTGAGGTCACATAAGCAAAGTCATGCTCATTTCTCAAAAGAATCTGGAGGGGAGGTGAAGCGGAGGTCGGTATTTTTTTGAGTGGGTTTAGGGGTTTGTTTGGGTTTTTTTAAATATATATATATATACACACACACACACAGTGCAAGCTTGTCTAAAGAAGTGGTACTACAGATGACAGAACTTACTCTGCTGCAACAAACTGAATACCTTGACCTCTCAAGTAAACTAAGCATACAAAAGTGGTAAGAATAAAAGGTGCATGTAAAACCAGCAGCAATATTATGTTTGGCTTTCCACTACTTCTGCAAGTTACTGTACATATATTACATCACTATTATAGAAATGGCACAGCCTCAGACACTTTCCACATTTTATTTACATTTTAAGACTAACTTTAATCTCAATCACATATCCATACATTTCCTTTGTTTCACTAAAACTTAAATGCATGGTTTATTAGAACAAAGACTGTAAACAAATATTTGCCATGTCCGATACATGTAACACACAGGAGCTGCTTAACAGAAATTAATCCCCCCATTTTATAAATACAGGTATCAAAACAATCCTGAACATACTTTGTGACACTACTAGTAGTCGGCACCCACACCCTTGCAAAATTAAACAAGATGAGCAACGGTATTCACTGTACCTGCTACTTTAAAACAAATTTAACTGCAGCTCTTTTACTAAGCAAGATGGATAAAGCATGCCATTTATATTTTGCCTTCTCAAGAGATTATTTTCAGAAACATATATTATTCCACTGCATTCTGACACTTTCTGTCATGCTTTCATCTTGTAAAACCTGAATTCCAATTTTAGGCTATTTCAGGCTTATGCTTAAATGACAGTGCCTCGATAAGAGAAAAAAAAAATTGTGCTGCCTTTTTCTCCCATAGTGCCTGAAAACATATTGGGCATACATATATTATATATATTCTTACAAATGTCCAGGTCATGTATACCAGCTGAAATTCTTCTAATGTGTGGGTGTTTGCATTGTGAGATTTAATCAAGACATTAACATGAGTAGAAGGTTGTTGTTTTAAGACCGAAGTTTGAGAATCAGCTAAAATTAATTGTTGTAAGTTTGTCCCTCTGGAGGTTGTGGAAGCTTCATATTTTCTTTGGACATCATTAGACGTCTTAGCTCTTGAAGTACAACTTTAATGCTATAAGAATTTTGCCATTTTGCTAACACTGGTATGCTCCGTGCATCCACCTGGAAAAAGAAGGAGGAGTTATAAATTACGATGAAATACAAAATCTCTACATAAATAACTGCTATTGACCTAATTGTTTTAAGAAAGGGTCTGACACTTTCTCTGTGGCACAGAGTCCCTGTGTTCATAAAATATTTTAAGGAAAACAATCATATACTTACACACAGATACAGATTCTGCAATAAATCCATGCAGGTGGACCCTTCCATCTGTGCTGATACTAATATTAGTGAGAAGGAAAGGGGTGGGGGAGGAGGAGATCAGCAAAGCGTTCACTGCAAAACTGGAGCCGTATCTTATAAAATTTATTAATTTGTTTCAAATTACCCTCCAAAAAGAAAAAAGTAATCACCTTCATTATGCCAATATATACACCTGGGTTTTCCTCAGTTCTTTAAAAGAACCTGCCACACAAAAGTCCGTAGAATACCTTTCTAAAGGAACATTTCCCTTGTTTTTCCCTTGCCATAAGTATCATTAGTGATTTATTTCACATTGATATTACATGATGTTTCTGATACATTAAGAGTCACTACATATACTAAGAAATGGCTTGAAATATTGAAATAAGTGATTCATAATGTTTGGACATTTCTTAGTTCTTTGCATCCTTCTTACAGTAAGTCATCTTATGGAGCTGTGAAGATTACTGTACATCACTTACCAATTTGAATATGAACAGAAAGGAAAGGACATGGGACTTCTCCTATGCGTTTATAAAACCTGTGGGACAATTTACACAATTATATTATACCAGAGAGGTTTCCATAGGAAAGTCAGCAATTGAAAGTCAGCTTGGGAACTGTTTTGGCAGCAGTTAAGTCCTGGCCACCCAGCCCCTGCAGGAAGGAACTTAAGATGACAGAGGGGCCTACAGCTCTGCAACTGCAAAGCAGGTCCACGGGCAGGAATAGGGCTATTGCACTCTACTGAATTCCATTGGCAGAGTAGCACAGGCAGCCCACATGGCTATAAAAGTGCTGGAAACCATTGCTTTATGATTTAGGCAGCATAAAACATCAAGAAGTTTCTTATCCCACCTTAATTAGGGCAAACTGAAAGAAAAAACAACACTGGAATCAGAAATAAGAACGTTAAATAGACATTTTGTTCTAGATTGTTCGAAGTGAGGCTATTTTCAGAACACTGGATGAGACTAAGCCTTTTTGTAGGAGGAAACCGAGGCCAAGGTTTAACAACATGCTAGCTTGCGCAGCAATACTAACCCAAGAAACTTCTGCTCCCTCTCACTAGGCAGTTATTCCTTTCACAGTGCTGCTGCCTATCAGCTCAGGTGAACCATGAAATGTATGTGGAGCTATTTGCTGACCTGAACTCACAGAACCCACCTGGTTTAAAAAAACACCTTGGAAAGAAGTGCCTATGCCAGGATCCTTGATCCAATTCACAGCTCAGCACTATAAGCATTTCTCTTCACACAAATAATGTTCTGCACAGAGTCAAAAACCCCTTAAAGTCAGTTTAAAACCCTTGTCAGCCAAAGACAGCATATCATCAAACCACATTATAAGAGGCAGTCAGATTACTTAATAATTATTGCAAACATTAACAAACTAGGAAGAGAAAGAGCATCAAAAGGAAAGCTCCACTATGCAGCAAGATCATGCCAATTTTAAATGCACGAGTGTATAAGCTAATACAGAAAGGTTTTGAAACTAACCTGATCAGACCATTACGGTAATTCTGGGACTTCCTTACTTCTTTTTTTAAAAGGTTATTTGATTTAATGTGGTAGATAAGAGGCAATATCAGAGCAGAATAATCTTTGCAACTGGAAAACAGGCTGTCTTTTCTTAAAAAGCAGACTATTAGATAAAACCACCAGTGAGTAAACGGGAAATTCTGCTAAGAGATCACCTATGTTATCAAGTAGCAGCTTAAGTAAGGCATTAGTTAGCCTGAATCTTTGTTCTGAGGTACTAAGCTCTTAAGAGATCTCTTCCGCTCTGATCCTTCTAGACAGAATTAAAGGACGCTCCAGAGTTTCTATCCAACAAGTTGGACCCAGCAAACTAGGAACAACATGAATTCATTTCAAAAATTAGAATAGTAAATATCACACTACTTGAAATTGTTCTCCACAAAGAAAATGCCACAAGAAACGTGGCCATTTCTCCTCGTGGGGTCCTACAGAAAGAAGAAAAACTTCATGGTGGTTAAGTATCATGATAACAGAAGATACAAGGGCTCTGATCTTAAATGTTCACTTAGCATATACCTGCAGATGTTTAAGAGCTTACTTCCCCTTTCTCACACAGAGACATACTTACTAACATTTGTTCTCTACAGCTAACCTGACATCCTCTTCAGTTTAGCAAAATGGAACAAATGAGAGTACCACCTGAATTCTTAGGTATAGGTCCTCTGGCAGACCAGTAGTTTAAGAAAATGTCAATGTTAGTCTGAATCACAGTATTTTCTACTAAAGTAGCTGAGGAAAGTTCACACTGGCAAGTCAATGACCTGCCAAAAAAAAAAAAAAAAAAAAAATCAATAATCTCCCTGAGAAAAATAGGGGAGAAAGAAGCCACAGTAAACTACTGTCAAGGACCAGGTAATGGTTGCAACAGAAGATTCCCAACAAGGAAAGACATGCACTTGGGGGTGGAAGCCCATTAAACTCTTTTAGAAGACGACTGGTAAACCAACATGGCTAAGAAGAAAAACGTAGGTTTCGATTTTGGTAGGTTCGAGAAAGAAAACTATTATAATTATCTGTTCAGATAAAGACTGGGTTAGCAAAAAATGGCTGGAAAGGCAGTTACTCTGGGACTCCCCAAATGAACATCTATCTTCAGCCTGGCAATTCCACTTTCATACCATCTTGCTTCTCCTCACTTCTCCTCAACTTTGTCTTTGTAGGCTCTCTCAAGTCTGGAGATCTGCCACAATTACAGCACATAGCAGTCAGTCACGAGTGCTGTTCAAACAATGCAATTCTACATACACTGGCTATACTGGAATATGAGACCTGATCACTTCAAAGTAAGCTCCTCCAGCTTTTCTTTCTTGGCTGGGAATTTCTAACAACAAATTCATAGACAGTAAACTCTGCTTTAATGATGTTATGAATGTTTTCTGAGTAGACTGCTGCAACATGACATTTTTGTTGCTGTTTGTCTCAAGTCTCTTTTCTGCAAGTCACCAACTTTTTTCATGACATCCTGTAGAAGTAAAGATTTTGGCTCAGGTTCTGTTTTCTGGGTTGCAGCATTTATTTCCAAGTTAGTGCAGAATAAACTTGTTCTTCATAAATTTATGAAGAACAATGATAAGATATTTGGAAGAATGACACAAACTATGTTCAAATCACACAAAGTGTTAGGTAATATTCAAGTACACATCCTGAGACACAGAGGGGAAAACTTCAAGGTCACGTAAAAGCTAATGACAACTGCAACCTGAAGGCTATTTTATTCTGGGAGTATACCACTGTAAATCCTTGAACAATAGCAAGAGAATCAATATGTATAATGCGTCGTTTTTTCTAAACAACTGGAATTAAAACAAATAATTTTACACAATGTTGCGAAGTATTCAGTGTTTATAATGTTCCCAAGATCTTAACTTTAAGAAGTAGCAAACTGCTTAGTCTACAATAAGCATACTCAAAGCAATAACTGGACAACAATTTACAGACTCACAGCTGACAGAGTCCCAAGGAGTTTAAAGGAAACAAGTATTTCCAGCTGTAAATGGTCTCTAAATGAACAGAAGTGACTGCAAATCCTGCAAGATAGACTGCTGAAGAGCGCTCTGATGCAAAAATCAGACATCCTCAAAAGACCATGGGAAAATAAGTAGCATGTCAGAATGCAACCTGTGTTTTATCAATACAGGATACACAAGTTTCCAAGAGAAAAGACACTGCAGCATTAAGAATGCTAATTTAAATACAGTTTTACAACAGTAACGCCGTTAGCACATACAGGCATTTTGTCCAGCCCTACATAAGTACTCGGACTAGATTTTCTGAACTTAGTACCCTAATTCTGTATACAAATGCAGTAGCTCCATAGGCAAATTGAAAAGCAGAAAACCACAAAACCTAACATGCAGCTAAGAAAAAGGCGGCAATTTAACAGGGTGAGTCAGACCACCTAAGTTTAGTCTTTTGAGATAAAATACTCCTGAAGTAGGCCTCTCCTTTCCTGCACTAAATTTATCAAACAGCAATCTCTGTGATCCCTGAAGATATGCTGCTGATGGAAAAGTTACTCACAAGCAAAACTCCTCTCTCAGAATAATCAAACAAAAAATCAGTAAACTTGTAACTGTCGGTATTGATAAATTCATTACACACATACACATTTCATGCAAAGTGTAAAAAGACATAAGTCAAGAAGGTGGAGAACCACCGCCAACAAGGCAGTATGAGACTAGCTTCCTTAGACCCCCAGTAACTCTAGCACATATACACCTCCCCCCTCCACCATTCCCACTCCAACTGAAGAGAAATCACGCTCTAAACCCACACTGGGGGCCGTACTTTTCCTCAGGTGTTAACTGGCACACATCTCCTGTAAAGTGTACCTTAACAATGTTACAAACATTTTGAGTAGCATGATAATACCACTAGGACCTACAATTTTGGTTGCTGTTTATCTCTGGTCTCTCTTCTGGAAGTCACCAACTTTTTCACGACATCTATAAGCAATGTGATCAAAAGCTGGACACATGTCAAAAAACAGGGTGTATGCAAAAGCATAGATAGTAGAGCTTGTCTAAAGATGAAACTATGACTCATTCAAAGAATGCAGCAAACTGCTTATGATCTATTAAATGAAAGACAATCAGAAAGTGGGAGAGCATCTTGCAAGAAACAAAAAGGAACTAAAACAGGAAGCAGCAATGTGAACTGTTCCAGGATGCTGAACATGCCTCCAGTTTATCTGACAGATTCTAGTGAGCACAATTCTAGTGAGCACAATGGTGAAATAAGCTAAAATGCAAGTTACCAGGACACATTAAATGGGCACATTAAAAATTACATAATAAATGCATTTTAAATTCATTAGTTATGGAAAGCATTTTCATTAAAAACTATCTAGTCCTATTTAAATCCATTAAAAAAATAATTATGCATCTGCATAGCAAATCCTAGTTTATAAGTTGAAGTAAAATTGAATGAAGGTTTTGTATAAGCATATAAACTTATTAAAATCAAACTTTTGTGTAGCAATTCCTAGATTTCAACAATGCTTTTAAAATCACCAGGTGGATTTCCTGTCACAGTATTCACCCTGCTCCTCAGCAAGCAGAGTGTAGACTTCTTCAACAAAAGCCAACAGACTTGGTAAACGCGAGCCTTCAGGCTCTGCAGGTCTGAGATTCTGCTTCCGGAAACCAACACCTCCTCTCAGGTATGCACAGATGAAGCAACGAGAGCATTCTTCTTTACTGATTCAGAATAAAACATGTTCCCAGGGAGAGATATGAAAATAATATTACAAACACACTAAAAACTCTGCTGCATTCCAGATTGGCAGCTTTTGCTAGTCAGACATCTATTTTAATAAACATATATACCTAGGCAACAAGCCACAGTTGTGATGAAGGGCAACAGCTGGTTTGTAGATAGCAATTTTAATAAGATCTTCAGGTAAAGCTGGCTACACAAGTACTTTCAAATTAATTTTAGATTATTTCTGAAGTGTTAGTGCACTGGCTTTGGACAACCACTACCCTACCACCCACAATAGCTCAAACAAACCCCTAAGAATCTCTCCCTCCGCTACAGTCATTGAGATACTTGAGCTTCACATTTCAGTACTGTTAATTACACAAATGCAAGTCTATCTTTCTTTTAAATCTTGCAAATTATTTAAAACCCAAAGATGCTCTCTGACTCACCTCTAAGTATTACCTTAACCCAAATACTTTGCATTCACTAGAGACAAATGTACACACAGACAAG